CTTCCCAAGCAGCGCACTGTAGCAGTGCGCCACCGGGCCGGCCCCAAAGAGTTGTTTTAAAGGATAAAGGAAACTAGGCTTGCCATTTTTCATAATTGTGTTGATTTGTATCTAAAATGGAGTGTTACTTACATGTCCTGCATATTGTCCAAATTTCTTCCTTAGCCCAACTGCCAGACCAGTAAGACATTTTGCTGCCAAAGCCACCAACATGACATTGGTGTCCTTTCCAACAACCTTTTACAAAAGGGGAAAAAAAGGAAAACAAAATAGTCACAGTCCTGTAGAAGGATATTGCAAATTTATTCTCAAAAGAACTTTGAAAACTATCATGCTATTAGATGACCAATTTTTTTTGTCTTTTTCGTGACCAGTAAGGGTATCGCAACCCTTGGCTTGGTGTAGCCTGCACCGTGCTCAGCCAGTGAGCACACCGGCCATCCCTATATAGGATCCGAACCCGCTGCGGGAGCGCCACTGCGCTCCCAGCGCTGCACTCTCCCGAGTGTGCCATGGGTTGGCCCTAGATGACCAATTTTGATTCCTACAGAAGAGGAATTATTCTTCCTTTGTATTCAGGAGCTTCCCTTCATTATGTTTAATCTATGTTAAAGTTCTATCAGTAAAATATACATAAAACCACTATGACAAATTGCTAACTCTTCAGTAGTGGCAGTCTGGACTGTCAGCACTCTAAAACTGTGCAGAAAGTGACCCTGATAATGGCAGAGAAGTTGCAGGTCTTCTGACTTTGCTTTGGGGCAGGGAAAACCAAAAGACAGCTATCTCTGAAAGATACCACAGGGCAGCATCTCTAATATTTACACCCAAGAAGCAGCAGTAGAAACTGCTGTAGGAAGTCCATGGGGACTTTAAATTGTAATGCCATTGCAACCATTCCTGTGAGGAAGCTTCTGGCCTTGCAGCTGCCATTTTAGCCATCTAATGATCATCAAGCTTATATTTAGAGTCTCTTAGCAGATTCTCCTTCAGCACTGTTTATACTACCACCGTCCTATGCTATACCACTCAAAAGCCCAGCACTTACCTAACTAAACTCATGAGTTGTAGGTATATCTGTGTCAATTCAGCAAGACAGTGACTATGAGTGAATTCCTTCCTGGAAAGATTTTACTGTGGTATACTGCTCAAGTCAGCTGGTGTTAAAAAGCTGCTTTACTTAAAAGTGCCCCAAAGCCTTGTTTTTTTCCTTTACTCTTTTCCCAGTAGAAGTAATGCCCCCATTCTACTTTGAATTTTATCTAGCCCTTAAGATCTGGTATTCCATAAGTAGAATGCTTCATTCTAGATTCCCTGCATTAAACAACTCCTAACACATAGCATGGAAGGAAGTTCTAGTTGACACCTATATGCACTCTCTAAGTACAGAAGACTAAGGATTAAGAAAGGAGATTAACATTTATCAAAAACAAATTAGGCACCACAATTCTGTAGGTGCTTTATAATCCTTTTTAAATTTAACTCTCACCTAAACCCTGAGGTAGACACTATTATTATCGTGATTTTCCAGATTTCAAAAATAAAATAAAATAACTTTCTTAAGGTCACATGGTTAACAAGTGGTAGTGATATGATTTAAACCCAGGTCTGTTTTGATGCCAAAGATTTTTGCTTTCTTTTCTAAAGCATGTTCTCCCTCTAAACTCATGTTATGGCAAGTCCATTTCTTTTATGAGATGTTGAGATCAGGGTCCTAATAAACATTTTGTTAAATATCTAATTATAACAAGCCTATGGAGAAAAATTTTTCCAATTTAGCTCTGAATTGAATTCACTACTGGCATTTGTAAATGTCCTATTTTTCTTTACCAAAATACCTCTCGGGTAAGATTTAGATACTAGATTTTATATTTAGCATCTAAACGTATACTGCATATTCTAGAAACGATCTTCAAAAACACGACAGACACTACTCCAAGAAATTCTAGTTTGATGGATCTGGGATGAGATTTGGACATAAATATTTTTATACAGCTCAAAAGGTGATTTTATAAGGCCCCAATCAAAAACTATCATTCCATCCCTTTTTTAGGAGAATACCTCTCCTTTTCCACTAGAGCAGTAACCAGTGGGAGCTAGACTCCAGACACTCATGATTATAATGAAAAGTATTGAAGAAGATCCTGTGAATCCATTATATTTCGAGATGGCAAAGGACTGAATAAATTTATAGGTGAATGATGGACCAGATACCCTAATACAATATCTGTATGTCACATATCCCATACTGACAAAACAAGTTATTCTCAACTGGGAAATGGGAGTGGGGAAGGTGAAGAAGTATTTATTTTTAAGAAAATACTGTATGTGGGGAAATTCAATTAGAGATGAGAAAAACTCAGTGACTTCTATTCTATTCCAGGGAAAGATTTAGCTCATAATCTCAATTTAATCTAAACAATGGGAAATTTTTAATTAAAAGTACTGTCACTTTTCTCATAAATCTGGGTCTACAGTGTTAAAATGCAATGTGCTTTTAAGTAATTATCAATTAGTATTTATCTTTAAAGATTAATTCAAGCCACTTGTTAACAGTAAGCAAAATGAACATACACTGCTGACAGATGGGGGAAAAAAAATCAATGAAACCCATCGTGAATTACTGTGTTCAGAAAACTAAGATAAATACAAGCAACAATTAAAGGGGAAAAAAGTAGAAAGACCAAGTGAAAAAAGGTTAATACCACATAGAAAGAATGATGTAGGAGAATGTGTCATAAATCACCTTGAAAACCCAAATCTTATTTTTTTTTTTTTTTCCTTTTTTTTGTCTTTTTTCGTGACCGGCAACGGATCACAACCCTCAGTGTCGCGCCCGTACCGGACCGGGACCGGCAACGGGATCGCAACCCTCGGTGCTGCGCCCGCACCTCGCTCAGCCAGTGAGCGGGAACCGGTCTGTATGTGGGATCCGAACCCTC